TGCTTGACCATTTTAACACAACGTGGTGCGATCATCCCCCTTGCGCGGAGTGAGGGTTCTCCACCCCGCACAACATGATCTACTCGACCACCATTGTGGTTACCGCCAAAAAAAACCAGAGGTAAAAGAAAAAACGGTATCCTGGTTGCCGAGTTCACGAAGTGAATTGGCTTGTTTTACAACGTCGTTGCCAAGCGATGAAAACCCAATCCCGATGGCAAACATCGAAGGAGCGGGGCGGGGGGGGGCACAATTCGAAGAGAGTTGATGGGCCCGCTGCTTCATGAATAGGCGGTCGGTAGCGTAGCTTCGCCAACGGACCCAAGAACGGGGCCAGCGAGGGGAAGCAATCGACGATGGTGGCGTTGTTGTGTACAGTTGAAGGCCCGCAGGGTTGGTGCTGCCACACTCACTTGCCGTCGATCTTCACACCGTTGAACGCGGCGACCTCCCCCGCGAAGAAAGGATGGTTGTACAATAACTTTCCCGTGGCGATATTGACCGTCATCGAAGAGGCGCGCAGTCGTCATCCTTTCGTACCGAGGGTCCACCGGCTTGTAGTCGTGGCGACATTTCTTGGGCTTTTCCCCTTCGACGCGGTGGGCTTCTTCCTCTTGTTCCCCATCGATTCTGGAGGCTGTTGAGTGACAGGGAAAAGGGCAGCGTAAAAATGTAGGACAAGGTGATGACGATGAGCAGCTCGTCGGGTTGAAAACTTTGACGATGATACCGTTCTTGCCGATATGGGGTGCAGCTGGCACCCCCGTTTGGGATCGTTGAGCGACCACCCATTCCCCAGGTGGCCGTGGTGGGAAGCGGCATAGTCCTCATTGTACCTACAATCACATCCTCGTGCTCGCTTTCCTCCTCCGAAGGACTGAAGTCGCTGTCATAGCCGCCATCGTTGTCGACGACAATATTGCGTCTCGTCGACTCTTGGGCAATCTGCATGGACGAGAGGGAGCGCGAAGAGTATGACAACGGCGTATGTGAATGCCCGTGAGAATCAGTTCTGCACATCCCGATTTTCCCTCGGTGTTCACAATTGATAATCCCATGTGTTCATCGAGAGATACTACGTGAGTTGAAAGGCACACCTTTCCTTTTCGAGTCAAAAAAAAGGACCGAGTGCATTCTTTTGGCGTCCGATCCACGGCGAAGAGTGAATATTTGGAGAGTGTTGAGGGGTGAGGTGATAGCGATCAAAAATGGAAACCCGTCGGGAGGCGTGTTGGATGGTTTGAGCGGGAATATGCGAGCTAATTCGTCTGCTTACGAGATCCCTTTCGGCACCCCCCTAACACCCCTGCTGTCTGAACCGCAACGGCCCAACTCAGGACACGAATGCCAATGATTCTACCACAACGATCCAACTCACCATACGAATGGCGCAGCCACGGTGAGCCATGTGGTCGCGTATTATCCAGCGCGTGACTTCTGCTGAACATCGCCTTCGCTTTGGTACAAGCGTTCCACGAGGTGGACGAGAAAAACGTTACGTTCGCGACGACGAATGAGACAGAGTACGCGGCGCTGCCGCTTGAATCCCTGTCTGCTGCCCCCGACTTGATGGACAGCGCCAAGGAGTTCGTAAACAGGATGAGGAGGCACCCCTGTTATTCAAGATTTTTCGCCAGAAAAGGAGAGAAAATGCGTGGAAATTAGTATGCGAGCACTAGCCACGAAGTGGCCTGCGAATCGTTGTGCAACGAGAGAGGGAAGGGGGTCTGGGGTGGCGGAGGTGGGAATTTTTTTCTTGTCGGACGAAGACCTCTATGCATATGGGCGGCCAACATCGTTTCCTATGTCGTGTCATGAGAGCGTACTCGGCGTTGCACGCCATCAAGCTCATCATCGACTCACCGTCCTGTAGAGCTGTCTGTCAAGATTTTGACGTGAGGCCGTAGAAGCTCGAACACCATAAGGCTGTCACGTTGTGGACTTGGTCAACAATCGAGCGTGTTCAGGAGCGGAATATCATCAGAGGGGGAACAAATCGGCATTAGGGCGACCAATACGACCAGTAAGACAACAACAATCGAGGCTGTCCTCCTGTTTGGATTTGATGTTCAGGAAACGCGTGGCTTGAACAACATCAGAGGAATTTGGGTTGTTCGGTCTAAATAACGCTGTGTACATCTCTGCCCGGAAATATATTTTATCGCTTCTTCTACGTTTGACAACAAGAAGCAAACAACAGCAAACTCGTATCCCAGGGGGCAGGTAATAATCGCGGTACTCGTATGAGTGCGTAGACGCTTAGAGACGGGTATCTACCCGGCTTAACCCCTCTTAAACATAGTTGATTGTTGAAGTTCTTTATGTCTCACAAAAAATACGCCCTATGTTGGATACCCTGTTGCGATGCTGATGTGGGGCTCGACGACACTTTGTATTCGGCAATCTCATGCAATCCCTCATAGTAGTTACACTTACGGAAGGAAACATTCCAGAGGAAGGACGTCGGGGCGATGCTTTGATCTTTTTCGCGAACGGACATCTTTCGTTCCTGCCACACAAGAGGGTTTGACGAAGCAAGAAAATACAAAAGCTGTTGATCAGCAACCAGATCAGAAGCTCAAAGAAATCCCATTCGTCGTTTTGGAGGGCACCCACAGACAGCGCTCGCTGCCTCTGCGAGAAGCAACAGGGGTGAGAGAAAGTGCGGAGGTTGCGGGGGTAGGCACGTTGCCCCGAACGGCTTACACCTTGACGTTGCACTTGACGTCGACAGTGCGAAGTAATCACAAATTTCGGATGTCTCAGACAATGCCAACCACTTCTCTTCATACCGCGACGTGACGTCTACCTCGGCGTTTTCTCAGAGCCTTGTCGGTCTGAGGGTTCTTGCAACAACGTTAGCGCACCAGGAAGTACAGGCAACCCCGATCTCTCCCCTACAGTACCGCGCTACATTTTCCCTTCTCCTTGCGTCATCATCCGGAAAGTAATTCATGCTTGCAATCACTGAGAGACTCCCCTTGCAAGACCACGGTGTTCGTTGGGGAGCGTTGCGACCAACACTCAGCAAATCTCATCAGAACCGTCAGGTTCATCGCATTTCACTAGTACCGGTAGCGCGGGAAACTGGCTGACAAATGGAATGACATCCGTGCCAGCGAGTAAAGCCTGCTGTGACAGGTCTGGAAGGGGGCCAAAATCGAAAAAAGCGCAACAACCCTCTGAAATGTGAACGCCAATACCGATCTCCCGGCGTGGGCGTCCGCGGAGGCTTGCTGTCCTCTACAATGTACAGCGCCGAGATCTTTCTTGATCCTGACCACCCATGCAGTCAAACATGTGTGGAGCTGTTCGTAGCACCGTTTCTCGCTCCGACCAGTGATTAACCAATCTCTTCTTCTGTCCACGATGCAGTGTCAGAACGCTGGTCGGTCCAACTCGCTGGTATAGAATTGAAGATCCAGCATGACTCTACTGTACTCCACATTCCGTCATCCAACACCAGAACCGACCCAGAACGAACCACAGAAGCGAGGCGATCCAGACAAGGCAAGTTGTGTACA